CATCGCTGTGCAGCCCCCGCCGGCCACGCGGCTGAGCGCCTCCTGCTGCACCGGGCTGGCAAGCCAGGGCGCCTCCTGGGCGTCCGCCGCCGCCCGCACTCAGCTGCGATACTGGGCGTGGGCTCCAGCTCCTGCCCGGGGCCCGGGCGGATCCGGGAGGCGCCACTGGGCGAGGAGCTCCTTGACGCGGCGCACCCGGGTGCCAGGAGCCTTCGGCCTCCTCCGCCAAAGCGAAGACCCGCTTGGCCTCGGCGTACCGGGGGTCGGCTTGGACCCGGCCGTACAGGCGGATGGCCCGCTCCTCCATGGTCGTGGACCGCCGGGTCGCCCACCCCATGTGGCGCAGGACGAGGGCCCGCGGGACAGGGCCGCGCACGCCGAGGGCATTTCGCGCCCACCGCTCCTGGAGGCGGTTCTCAGGGTCCCCGCAAGGCCTTCCACGTGGACGCACAGCTCGGCTCCGTGCGCCACCTTCGGGAGCGTGCTGGCGACCAGCCCAAGGCTGAGCTCGTGCAGCGAGAAGCCCAGGTGGCTCATGATCGCGGCGTGCCGCCGCCCGACCCCCAACGCCTGCCGCTCGATGGCCTGGAGGTGCGCCTGCCCGGGCGGCCCGGCCGAGCGGTGGATGCCGAGGCACTTGTACTCGTCCACGAACCCGACGCCTTGGGTGGGCCGCGTATCCCCGAGGCCCCTCCCCAGAGTGGCCGTCTTGGTCGGGCCGTACCGGAGGTGGCCGCGATGGCGGCGCGCGGCACTCTGCAGCGCCTGGACGATCAGCCCGCTCTGCGCCCGCGACCCTGCCTTGGCACGCACGTCGTTCACGAACGCGCGCGGCCAGATCTCCTCCTCCCATCCCCTCCTCCTCCTCCTCCTCCTGCTTCCCCTCCTCCTCCTCCTCCTCGACCTCCTCCTCCTTCTCCTCCTCCCTCCTCCTCCTCCTCCTCCTCCTCCTCCTCCTCCTCCTCCTCCTCCTCCTCCTCCTTCTAAAGAGCACGGCCAGGTCGGCCTCACCACCGCGGTCACCACCCGTGGCCAATGGCCGCGCGCACGTCTCCGAGCTGCTGGCTATGAAGTTGCTGCGACTTGTGCGCGGTGCGGCCAGGCTGACGAGACACTGTATCACCGCACATGGAGCTGTCCAAAGAAGTGTGGCCACAAGGACTACGACGACAGTGTGCTTCTTGTTGAGAAGGCCAGGATCAACCATGCTGCGATCCCGTCTCTGTGGCTGCGAGGCCTGCCGAGCCGTGCTCACAGCTGCCCTGTGTTCGACGAGGACAAGCAATATCCTTCGGTAGCTTCGCCTCCGCACCCCGCGATGCCGAGGGGTTTCTCTGTGTCTTCGGTGATGGGTCTGGGGGCGAGTACTCGGACGACCCTCGGCGTCGCAGGGCTGGAGCCGCGATTGTTGTTCTCGACGGGAGCCCGTTCGACTGGGAGCCATATGCGGGGTTTTCGATAACCGTTCCTGGGAAGGTCCAGACAGTTCCCCGCGCAGAGCTCACGGCTTTCGCAGAGGCCCTCGAGCAAACAGTAGGAACATTAAGATATATTACCGACCACCTCCCCGTTGTAAGAGTCTGGTCCCAAGGAGCGAGGGTTTGCCACGGCCACGTGCGGAACGGTGACCTTTGGACCAGGATCTTCAGTGCTGCCGAGGGGAGGGGCGCGGAGGTTATTGTTGAGTGGACCCTGTCCCACGTGTCGGTTGAAGATTTGGACTGTACCTGCGAGCGCGAGGTTTTCCGTGCTGTGGGCAACGAGTGTGCCGATGTGCTTGCAGGCAGAGCTGCGCGCGCGAACTGGAGGGAATTCGCAGTAGGATGTGCTCCAGAGACCGACCGCCGAGACGCCGAGGCGTCCTTGATCCGCCGTCGGGCGCGCAGAGCCCTGGAAGAGTCAGCCTAAACCGATCCGTGGACCTGTGCTCGGCCCGAACGCCCCGAGGTGCCTCCCGTGCCCGTGCTGGCCCGCCTGTGGTTCTACGAACCCCGCAGCCACTCCCCCACCTAATGCGATTGCGGGCTACTGTGCAAGACTCGGAGGCGGGAGGGAGAGAGGGAGGGAGGGAGGGAGGGAGGGAGGGACGGTCGTGGCCTCCCCGTCCTACCCTGCGTGCGTCCGCCCACGAATGGCGGAAGATCGGGCCCAGGTTTTTGTGGTTAAGCTGCTCTCGGGTCGAGACGAGAGCTTCCATAAAATCTGCTGCGCCCAGTGGCTGCAGCGCCCGTCCCTGTGGTCATCAGATTCTCCCTCTGCGCGGCCCCCAGGAGATTGCTGGGCGGGTTCTGACTTCGGAGCACGCCTTCAATTTCTGGGGGAGGTACAGTCCCACGTTCTGTACGAAGTGTGGCAAGTCGGCCACGACCGATCCTCGTTGGTTGGTTGGCCCCTGTCGCCCCTCCCCAAAAAGCGACCAGAGTTTGAAAAGAATGGCTTCAGATCAGCCCTGGCTCGAAGATGCAGCCCCTGGCCAACAATTATCAAAAGAAAAAGAAAGAGAAAATAATAAGTGAAAACGTGTCTTCATTTTCTTTTTTTATTAGAAATTGGAAAGCATCGAAGGTCCCATCAGGCATCTCTTTCAAAGAGAGGGTGGGGGCATTGCCGCCAACGTGGATCCGGGACGCGGACACCGCCCACCTCGTCGCCGCCCAGCCGACCCAGCCGCACCACGACGGCCGGGGGGGAAGGCAAGGATGATGCGGCAGGAGGAGGGGCCGCGTCTTCGTCGAATCCGAATTCGATTTCGTAACTCGTTTGCTCTTGACTTCCGTTGTCTCTCATGCTTGAGTCCTCTTGAGTCCTCCTCCTCCTCCTCCCTCCTCCTCCTCCTCCTCCTCCGCCTCCTTCTCCTCCTCCTCCTGCTCCTCCTCCTCCTCCTCCCCCTCCTCCTCCTCCTTCTCCTCCTCCTCCTGCTCCTCCGGAGGGGCCGCGTCTTCGTCGAATCCGAATTCGATTTCGTAACTCGTTTGCTCTTGACTTCCGTTGTCTCTCATGCTTGAGTCCTCTTGAGTCCTCCTCCTCCTCCTCCCTCCTCCTCCTCCTCCTCCTCCGCCTCCTTCTCCTCCTCCTCCTGCTCCTCCTCCTCCTCCTCCCCCTCCTCCTCCTCCTTCTCCTCCTCCTCCTGCTCTCCTCCTCCTTCCTCCCCTCCTCCTCCTCCGCCTCCTCCTCCCTCCTCCTCCTCCTTCCCCTCCTCCTCCTCCTCTCGCCTCTCATCTCCTCCTCCTCCTCCTCCCCTCCTCCTCTCCTCCTCCTCTCTCACCTCCTCCTCCTCCTCCTCCTCCTGCTCCTCCTCCTCCTCCGCCTCCTCGTCCTCCTCCTCCTCCTCCTCCCCTCTCCTCGCCTGCCTCCGCCTACTCCTCTCCTCCTCCCTCCTCCTCCTCCTCCTCCGCCTCCTCCTCCTCCTCCTCGTCCTCCTCCTCCTCCTCCCTCCTCACTCCTCCTCCTCCTCCTCCTCCCTCCTCCTCCTCCGCCCTCATTCCTTCCTCCTCCTCCTCCTCCTCCTCCTCCTCCTCCTCTTCTTCCTCGTCCTCCTTCTGGCGCGTGGAGCGCGCCAGGGGGCGTCGCAGAGCCCAGACACCCGCGCGGGCCTCCTTAGACAGCCGGCGCCCCAGTTTGCGTTCGAGGCAGGGGGCCCCGACTTTTCGACCGATTCCCTGGGGCTCGTTCTTCGTCCCGAGACGTTTGCGCCGATCCAGAGCTCCTCTTCCTCCCCTCTCCTCCTCCTCCGCCTCCTCCTCCTCCTCCTCCTTCTCCGCCTCCTCCTCCCTCCTCCACCTCCACCTCCGCCGCCTCTCTCTCCTCCTCCTCCTCCTCCCTCCTCCTTCCCTCCTCCCTCCTCCTCAGCCCGCCGCCTCTCCTCCTCCTCCTCCTCCTCCTCCTCCTCCTCCTCTCGCCTCCTCCTCACTCTCCTCCTCCTCATCCTCCTCCTCCTCACTCCTCAACTTCCCCCATCGTCCTCCTCCTCCTCCTCCTCCTCCGCCTCCTCCGCCTCCTTGTCCTCCTCCTCCGCCTCCTCCTCCTCCTCCTCCTCCTCCTCCTCCTCCTCCTCCATCATCCTCGTCCTCCTTCCTCTCTCTCCTCCTCTTACCTCCTCCTCCTCCACCCTCCTCCTCCTCCTCCTCCTCCTCCTCCTCCTCCTCCGCCTCCTCCTCCTCCTCCTCCTCCTCCTCCTCACTCCTCCTCCTTGCCTCCTCCTCCGCTCCTCCTCCTCGACCATCCTCATCCTCGACTTCCTCCTCCTCCTCCATCTCCCCCCTCTCCCCTCCTCCTCCCTCCTCCTCCTCCTCCTCCTCCTCCTCCGCCCTCCCCTCTTCTTCCTCTTCCTCGTCCTCCTTCTGGCGCGTGGAGCACGCCAGGGGGCGGCGCAGAGCCGAGACACCCGCGCGGGCCTCCTTAGACAGCCGGCGCCCCAGTTTGCGTTCGAGGCAGGGGCCCCCGACTTTTCGACCACTCCCCTGGGGCCCGTTATTCGTCCCGAGTCGTTCGCGCCGATCCAAGCTCCCCTATCCTTCCTCCTCCTCCTCCTCCTCCCTCCTCCTCCTGCTCCTCCTCCTCCCTCCTCATCCTCGCCCTCATCCTTCCTCCTCGACCTCCTCCTCCTCCGGTCCTCCTGCTCCTCCTCTTCCTGCTCCTTCTCCCCTCCTCGCTCTCCTCTCCTCCTCCTCCTCCTCCCTCTCGACCTCTTCCTTCTCCCTCGAAACGGCCGAGAGGCCCTTCTCTTTCTTTCGACCATTTCCGTTTTTCCCTTCCTGCGGGCGGGCCCCGGGGCGCCCCGTGTTTTCGGTCTCTTTTTCGCGTCGGGTTCGGGTTCCCGAGCTTGCCGAGCTGGATTTTTTTTGTGACGCTGGTCCCCGAGGCTGGGTGGGCGAAGGGGGGCCCTGACTCGGGAAAGAAAAAAAAGCCGAAAACGATGAAAAGCATCCGTCTCGTGGTTTTCGAGACGCCAGTCAGGGTCCGAAGACTGGTGATTATGCCACTTGTTCTTCCTCAAGAGCCGCTCTGCGCGGAGCCGCTGCTGCCGGACTCGCTGGCGGAGCCGCGGCGGCTGGCGCGGAGGAGCATGCAGCCCAGCACCCGCTCGCGGCCGCCCTCGGGTCTTTGCAAACGGGACGGGACGGGGGCCAGCCAGAGCGCCGAATCTTGTAGGACCCGGGAACGCCAGAGTTACATTGACCTGGGCCAGCGTGCAGGATCTTGCAAGATCCTGCATGATCTTGCGAGATCCTGCAGAGGCTGACTGACCCAGTTTTGGGCCCCCCCTCCCTGGCGCGCGGAGCGCGCCCAGGGCGGCGCGCTAGGCGCCGCCAGGGGGCCCTAGCGCCATTCCGAGAAATCCCCGCGGACCTCCGAGTCATTATGTTTATGTCGTTGTTCATTCCCCTAATTGACCCTGGCCAACGCCACCCCGAACATCTGGCGTCTCGAAGAAGCATGACGGAGGTTATTTGTCATCGTCTGCGGCCTTTCAGGGCCCTTGCTGGGCCCCTCGACCGCCGAGGAGAAGGAGGAGGTCGAGGAGGAGGAAGAGGAGGAGGAGCACGAGGAGGAGAAACAGGAGGAGGAGGAGCAGGAGGAGGAGGTCCAGGAGGAGGAGGAGGAGGAGGAGGAGGTCCCGGAGGAGGAGGAGGAGGAGGAGGAGGAGGAGGAGCTTGGATCGGCGCAAAAACTCGGGACGAAAAACGGGTCTTCGGGAAGTGGTCGAGAGGTCGGGGGCCTGCGTCTCGAAAAAACCGTGGCGCCGGATGTCTGGGTTTCTTTCACGATATTGCCGCCTCATCCATTCTGGCCTCGCAGTTCCCTCCCGGCGGACTCGGACAGACTACGTATAGCTGTGATGCTATGGTACGGTGGACCGCCAGTAGCTCAGCACCCTCGGTCAGCACGCCCGCACGTGGGCAAGCCGTGGCAGGTCGTGCCCGAGCCCGACCGCGTCGCCGGCATCTCCAGTCCGCGCTGCGCACGCACGAAGCCGTCTCCACACATTACGAATGGGTTGTCGTCGGGGGATGGACGCGGTCGGCGTGGATCATGTCCCCTTATGTTGTCGGCCCTCTCGGATACCCCGCAGCCAGAACACGGGCACGTTGATGTGGCCTTCCGCTGCGTGAGTGCGTAGCCGCTCTGACTTCTCGCGCGCTGCGTCCTCGCTCCGGCGTCGCTCCCATATGCGGTGATAGTCGCTGTCCGTGGACCCGCGCTCGCAGTCGTCGCATCCGTGTCCGAATGCAGCCTTCTTCCGCGTTCTTCTTCACGAACCTGCACAGGCCGCCGTTCGTAGCCCTCCAGATCCACGACGCCTGCCTCGCCAGCGGAGCCATTCCGAATGCCTTCTCAGGTCTGTCGTGTCCGCCCCGGGGTGTTCAAGGCCTTTCCCGTTGTAACGTTATGCGGCTGCTTGCCGCGGCTCGAGTCGGACGTTTGTCACGATGGCGTCCAGGATGTCTGCGTGGTCTCCAAGCTCGACGTCCGCGGTCGATCCAGTGCTCTGGCCCTCTGGAGTCCCAGCCCAGCTCCCATAGTTCGGATATGATCGCTGCTAGCGGTCCTCTTCTCTGGGTCCATCTTCTGTTGGCCGGGATTTTCAGCATTCTGACATAAATCTTAAGCCATGCTCGCCGTGCCTGGGCTCGTAGACCTGGGCTGTGTCCCCAGCAATTGAAACTGTTGGCGAACTGCGTTGTGGCGATGGTGCAGGCTGGGTCTACGCCTTCCAATCCAAGTCCAAGTAGGCGGTCAAGCATCTTCCAGGCGCTCCGCTTTCTTTTTCTTGAACGCATGGCTGATCTGCGTACGCTCCGTCTCCGCCTGCTTCCTGGCCGCGATGAGGTGCTCCTTCAGCTGGCCTGCGAACGTCCTGGCGTTCAGCTGCAGCTGGGCGACCACCTGCGTCTTGGCCTCCTCCACCGCCATGCGGCCCTCCGCGCCCATGTCCTCGTCTCAGGCGAACTCCTGCTCGACCTCTGCGATCTGCACGTCGCTGGGCGACAGCAGGTCCGTGTCCGTGTCGACCTGCTGTTCGAATATGCTCTTATGGTGCTGCTCCTTCGCCTTGCCCTCCTGCTGCATCGCCTCGATCCTACTCTCCGCAACGAGGACTGCGTCGGAGCGATCACGCAGTGCTTCCCGAGCTCGTAGGCCCACTTTTACTGCTTGTCGGCGTCCTCGAGCCTTCTGGCAGCATCGGCGAGTCTGGCAGCGCGCGATTTGACAGGTGTGTGAGGCGTCTCCTTCAGCGCGCTTGCCTCTCCTGCCTGCTATTTTGCAATGGCGCCCCCGCCCGATGAAGTCCGTGACCGTCTGTAGCGCGCTGGCCAATTTGGCGATTCCAGTGTCGCCGCCGCCGCCCTTGCCGTTGCCCTTGTCCTTGCTGTTGCCCTTGCCCGACTTGCCAAGTGGGTCGGCATACTAGCTGCTACTCGCACCACCTGCTTGGTGTTGTCGCTTGGGCCTCGCAACTCTGCATCCACACTCGCACAAGTAGTCCTTCTTCTCGAGCTGGGAACAGCACCACCAGATCTCGCAGTGCTTGCAAGTGGTCCAGGTGGCCGGCGCCTCGCTGCCGCGGTGCATCTTGGGAATGTGCTCGGCCTTGATGCGTCGCAGGTAGTGCCTGGCTGCTGTCCTCTACCGCCGCAGGCGTCGGTGTCAGGCAGGTGAGCGGCTCCTCCGCTCTCGCCCCGTCTCTGGGGCTGGGGGTTCCTCGATTGCGCGCGGCCGCGCCCGAGGCCAAGGGCAGGGGGAAATGGCCGCGCCGCCCCGCCGAGAAACAACCTAGGATGAGGAGGAGGAGAAGGAGGAGGAAGAGGAGGGGGGAAAAGGGGAAGGGAGAGGGGGAAGGGGGGAGGAGGACAAGCTAGGCGCGCTCGCGTCATATCTGACGTCCTACCCCTTGCTCCCATCCCTCATCATGGCGTAGATCCCTTCTCTATTTGCACAGTTGGATGTCGACCAGGGCAATGATCCCGAGAGGGTGCGCGATGCATCGTAGAACACGGCATTAAACAAAGGCGCAGAAGAGCACGGCAGAGCGTAGTACGTCATAGCATGGCGTGGCGTTGCGTAGTGAAGAACCCCACCAGCCCTTTGGGCGACAGGTGGTCTAAAGAGGGTCTATTTCCTCTTCCACAACCCCTCTACCCTTCGGGGAGGGGAGCCCTCCCCCTCCCCTCCGCGAGGTTGTTTGGGAGGGGGACCGATGTGTCAGAAGGTCCTTCTTCGGCCCCTGGGCGGGCCAGTTTTTGACACCCGTCGCGAAGATCGTGGCCCCCGAGGGGGGGAGGAAAATCTAGGGCCCCCTCTTTGGACTGGCCGTTTCCAAAATGCCCCCAAGAGGAGGCCCCCCAGGGCTCCCAAGAAGCCCCCAAGAGAACTCCAAGAGCGCCCCAAGAAGCCCCAAGAGGCCTCCAAGAGGCACCCGAGAGGCACCCAAGAGGCCCCCGAGCGGCCTCACAGAGCCCAAGATGACCTCCAAGATGGCTCGAGATAGCCCAAGCTGGCTAAAGATGGCTCCCAAGATGCCTCAAGAGTCCCCAGGACCGCTCCAAGACGGCTCAAGATGGCCACGGAGCCTCCCCAGGAGGCCGCCCAGAAGCCAACATTGTTTCTGTTTTTCTTCGCGGCCGCAAGCGGAAGCGCAGGCGGCGTCCGAAGTCAGCCCAGGCAACGAGCCAAACCTAATGACCTAAGCTTGCGAACTAACGGCCGCCGAAACTGCCGCCGAGGGACGCCGAGGAGCGACGCAGGGTACTGAAGGCAGAGCTGCAAGAGGTGCCGGGCGTGCCGAGCGGCTGAAGTGCAACCATTCCAGGGGCGAGACCACCGGGAAGGCACACGAATTGTACCTTGTCGCGGCTGGTAGGGATTTTTTCGTCGCGGCCGCAGGCCAGGGCGCCGGCAGCAGAAGCAGAGTTGGCTCGGGCTACGAGCAACCTAATTGCCGGCGCGCGCGCGCGCCGAGCTAGGCAAGACCTACAGCAGCAGCGCCGGGGCTGAGCTGCGCCGAGGGCGGGGACTGCAAGCTGCAGAGGCTGCCAGGATGCTGCAACGTGCGAGTACCATGGGAGCTGAATCGCCAGGCACGTGACTTGGACTTTGTCGCCACTGGGCACGAGAGGTCAGGGCAACAAACCGGCAGGTGACACGCCTGGCCTCTCAAGAAGGCTGAACCACTCCTGAGTGAACCGGCGGACCAGTACCCCATAGGGCCAGCTGACAAACCAGAAGCCAAGGAAGTGCAAGCGCTCGTCAGAACGCGCGCCACCTGAACGCCAGGGCTCACTGGGCTCCACAGACCAGAATGAGAGCCAAAGGCGCGAGGGACGGACGCATCCACCGAGGGCTGGTGGGGAGTGTTTGTGCTCGCGAGCGACACAGAGCAACTGCGCGTCGTCAAGAAACGAAGCAACAACGCAACGATCTAAATCACGGCCCAAGAAATGCAGACAAAGCGGCGGTGGCGAGCAACGCCGCAGCTCAGACGACGAGAGCACCGAAGTCCAGGAGGTGCGAGCCGTCGCCGGCGAGGACCAGGCGAGGCCAGGTAGCAGGCCAAAATGGCTGTGAATTCGCAGGAAACCACACTGCAGCGGCGTCACTCAACGGCCTCGTCGAATACTTGCGGGGTGTTTTTTTTGGTCGCGGGCTGACGCGGTCACGCAGTCGCCGAAGGGGAGGTCCGGGGCACGGTCCTGCCGAATTACCTACGCGCGATCCTCGAGCGAGGCGGCCTGGCCAGCACTTAGAAGCAGCTGCTGGCCGGGCTGCACCTGATGGGGAGCTGGCTGAGCAGTCTGCAGAAGGCCAGGGTAGCACTGGTGGGGGGATTTGTTTTTTTCGGTCGGCGGCCGCGCGACAACGGTCTGGCGGCAACAACGATGCCCGGGGCAACGGAACACGGCAAATTACACGCGATGCGTGGAGTGCACATGCACTGAGCTAAATGCTCCGCATTAATCCAATAGCCCTTATAACGGCGACGATGGAACACAGTGCCGGGGAACTGCTTTGAACATCACCAGTCGTTCAAAGCAGTGCCCCGGCACTGCTTTGAACGATGCGGAAATGCGATCAGCAGGAGCCTTCGTCTGTTCCTTCTCCTCTTCTCGTCGCTGTATGCTCTTCCTTGTCCTCCCTCCTCCCCCGTTCCCTCTCTAATTAATTACCTCGTTCTCCCAGTCTCACGCGCACTCTTCCTCCCCCCTCTCCTCCTCCTCTTCCTGCTTCTCCTCCTCGTCCTCCTCCTCCACCGCCTCCTCCCCCTCATTTGTTATATTTCTCCGTCCTTGTCCTCCTGTCCCCGTTCTCCTTCTCCCTCTCCTCCTCCTCCTCCTCCTCGTCGTCGTCGTCCTCCTCCTCTTCCTCCTCCTCCTCCTCCTCCTCCTCTTCCTCCTCCTCCTCCTCCTCCTCCTCCTCCTCACCTTCTTCCTCCTCCTCCTCCTCCCCCTTTTCCTCTCCCTCCTCCTCCTCCTCCTCCTCCTCCCCCTTCCCCCTCTTCCTCCTCTGCTATCACTCCTCCATAATTCCTGTCCGCTCCTTCCCTTCACTGATCTTCCTCTTCGTCATCATCATCCCTTTCGTCGCACGCCTCTTAATCCTCAATCGGTTCCCAATCTTCTCGACTTTCTTGTCATCCGCGTCCTTGGCTGTTGGAGGTGCCTCAGGAATTCTCAGGGCTCTTGTGTTGCACGCGAAGGCACACCTCCCAGGAACGCATCATCCTCCTCACATTCACCCTCCTCCTCCTCCGCCCCTCGTAAATCCATCTTGCCATTCCCTTATCCGTGTTACGCCCCACCTCATCCATCCTATTTGTCTCCATCCTCCTCTTCCGCACCCTTTGTCCTCCCCTTCTTCCGGATCCTGCTCCTCGCCCCCTCCAATCCCCCTCTGTTGCCGATCCGGCGTTCCCATGCACGTTCGGCTCAAGCCCGCGCCGACGGTAGGTTTCACTGCGGTTGGGCGGGCTCGCGCCCGCCTCCGCGGCCGGCAGTCGGGGCAGAGATGCGTGCAGGGTGGGATGACAAAGCGGAAGAGGAAACACGGGCCGCAGGTGCGGATTCTTCAAAGAGCAGCGGCGGCGGTTGGGGAACAAGTGGGGGTTGGGGCGGCCGCAGTGGCGGATACGGCGGCGGAGGTGACCGCAGTGGCGGCTGGGGCGGCGGAGAGTCTCTTGGCGGATGGAGAGGAAAAGCGCAGGATGGCGGCGACGGAAGTGACCGCAGTCGCGGATGGGAGGGCGGCGGATGGGGCGGCAACGGATGCGAGGGTTGGGGAATGGAGGGCGCCCGCTGGTGTGACGACGAGGGTGGCTGGTGGAATGCATGGGAAGGTGGCCGCTCGAGTGCCTCGGCAGGTTCTCCTGCCGCGGAGCCCGCGGCCGCAACAGCGGCGGGCAAAGGAGGCGGTCCCCTGCTTCCCCCAGGGCGCGAAGAACAAGGCGCAGGTGCGCTGTTTCAAATTGTGCGCAATGAGCCGCTGCCAATTTTCAAGTTGGAATTCTTCGAGAACTTCAGGGCGAACTGGAACGGCAATTATAAGCAGCACAACGCGGCCTTGAAGTGGTTCCGAGACGAGCACGAAGACCGAGAAAACCCTTTCGGCAGCCGCACGCCCGTCTTCGGAGGTACCGCAGTTGCGGAGGAAATTTCGAAGATCCTTAAGTACCGCGCAAAGGGGAAGGCGCAGGACAACAGGGATTGGGACTGGGACCACACTGTCAAAGTGCCGTGGTCTTGGCTGGAGATGGTCGCGCAAATGGATGGACCTACAATGCTGCGCGTCGTGTGCGGCCCTGACAATGACCGCAGTCGCGGGTTGGTCCGCTGCGAGTGCCGCCCGTGCCCTAGCAGTCTCGACAACATGAGGCACACGAAAGGGGTGGACAGAGGACAGGCGCAAAGAATCCCTCTGCCCAAGTGGGATTTCGTCCT